ACTTAAAGATCCTTAGCCCCCAAGTGTTGAGTGACTTGTCTTTGCTACTATTCCTGAATGTTAAATACCACTTTTAATAAAGACCAGTCAATGGGTAGCATATTAGTTATTGCTTAGTAAGTGTTATTTGACAGCTGTTATTATAAACTTTCAAGTCCAAGAATTACTGTCATCCTGTTTTGCCTGTGAGGAAATGGAGTCAGTAACTAAATGGTTTACCAACAGAGGCAAAGCTTGACTTCAAAGCAGCCATTGTAGTTTGCAGCTTAGTGTGCCCTGCTGCCTTCTGGGTATTATTGTTTCCCCTCCACTGGCATGGTATGAAGCTGAGATGTCTCTCCTGAAGGAACTCCTCTGACGCTTCTCCTGAGTGTGGCTAGTTAGGTATGCTGTGTCCCATATGTCTGTAGAGGGAGCAGTCATCTCTTTGCTTCTTTGGCCTTCTCTCCCACAGACTGTACATATGTCAGGGACCATTTAAGTTCTCAGTCCAAAATAAGATGAGTGTGAGTTCTGCCTCAGAAGACTTTGCTGGTGTCCCCAGCCTTATTTCTGTGAAATTGTGAGTGTGCTCTTTTAGAATTAAATGCATTAAGATAGGGTTTAGGAATAATAATAATAAAAAAAAAAAAGGTTAAAATAGTATTGGTCACGTAGTAAATGTTCAGTAAACAGTAGTTGCTGCTGTTTCTTTTGTTATTGTTAAATGGTGAACATTGTATATTACACAGATTTTTAAACTCTTTAATTCTCACTGAATGTCCCTTCAATGAAACTGATTTTCTGTTGTCTGCTGTCTTCTCAAAAGCCACTGAGTTATGCTGCTTCTGAATTTTACCCTGTCAGAAGGAAAGCTTTAAACATTGAGCCCAGAATGCTGACCTTCAGGGAGGTTTTGATTCCTGGATCAAAGGCTACTCGCTGACAGCGTTCCTAAATGCTGCCACCAAGCAGCTAACCACCCAGTTTAATGGCCCCATGCTGTGTTGGGTGTTGAGAAGCATTCCATTCCTCCCAATAGACAGTCTTTGTAGGAGCCAGAGCAGAGAGGGGCCTTGTGAGGCCTCTTCTTTTGGGGTATGACTTGGGTGAAGGCAAACCCAAGCATTAGGAAACAGCACCCACTATTTAGCACTCCTGAGCGCCAGGTGCCTAGCATCTATTATGTGTTTAAGCCTCATGACATTTTTTTAAGAGAAGGGGCCTTATTACAGGGCTAAAACTTAGGCATGAGACTAAAGCTTAAATATTACAGCATTTACTCACAGGGCATTTCACTTGCAGCCTGTGTGCTTTTCTTCTCAATTAACTGCTTTCTTCCTTGGCGTTCAGCTCCTACCCTATTCCTGTACAGAGGGTATGCTTTTATATGAGAACCTGTGTCTCTATTTCCTCTGTGTCTTCTGTCCCTTTTGCTTTACCACTTAGAAAAACACTGTCTAGGACTAATGCTAGTGTCAGAATTCTGTGGTAAGTCCGAAGCGGCCACCTAAGTTTAAAATACCAGCACTTCAGAGCTGAAGTAAGAAGATCTCAAGTTCAGTACCAGTCTGGGCTTCATTGCCATACTATGTCACAAGCTCCCCCCTTTCCCCAGAAACCTTTGTGAAAAGAAGGCTTTTCACAGGCACAGAACTAGCTCCTTAAGTGAGTTATCTATTTTAAATGCCCATGCATTCTTCAGTGGCTAGCAGACTTGACTGGACCCAGCTTTAAACTGACTGGAGCATTCCTGGCAGCATTTAGTCAGCTCTCTGATGTGGAGGTCCATCTTGGACCTATACAAGAATCCCACAGAGCGGAAAGAAGTCATTGTCTCTGGTCATTGCTCCCAAAGTGCCCTGGCCTGGGGGAAAGCAAGCTGCCTGTCCTGAGCCCAGATGCTAGGTCTGTGTGTGACCTGCCTGCCCATGCCGACCAGGGCAAGTTAGGCAGGGCTAGCAGCATGCTTTCCTACAAGTCCATTGTCTTCTCAGTCTCAAACCAGATGCCCTGTGGAATAAGAGCAGCTTTAAAAGATGTATTGCAATAGATGTTGTAGAAAGCCCATAAAAAACCCTGAATGTAAAGAAATGAGGCATAAAACCCAGACTGTTTGGAAGTCAAGCTGAGAACTGTGGTAGCAGATCTCCATTTCTGTTTATTAAATGGGAGCCTAACTTAATAGCCACGCCTAGCTGGGTGCTGAGACCACTACTCTTGCGTTCTTGAATTTAACCCCACCCTCTGCGGGACTGCATGCCCAAATAAGATCCAAACTTTGCATTTGTCTGGAGGTTGAGAGGCGTGCACCTAACAGGAGGAAACTGACTAGATGAGGCTGAACGTGGTTCATGGTTCGTAAGGCAGAGCCACCTTCTCTTTTTAATGTGCACGCTTTTACGGAAATGGAGCCCCAGAGTAAGATAGCACACACTCGTGGACGCACGTTCCAAGTGCTGCTCTGCCCCTTCCCTTCACTGTTGTTTTCATTTTCCTCTCATGAACCTTGCTACCCTGGCTTCAGCTTGGAGGCTGTAAAGGAAGATGGAGAGCCGAGTTACCTCAGAATGATCACTATCGTTAACATTCACGGGTGGTTCACTTATCATTCCTGACTGCACAGACATGGCAGCCGCGCGGAAGCGTCCGCAGGTGTAGCATGGTGATACATATTACATTGTGCCACAATGGATTTATGTATTCTGTAACAAAAGAAAAGTGTAATGAAAAAATACAGAAGGTAATCCTTTATTCCTCTGCTACACAATTTATCAGTAAGGCCTGGGGATGGGAAGGGCCAGGGATTTCCTCTGCTTGCTTTAACCTTGTCACCCAGGTATGTTTTGGTAAAATGACAGAAAAAATACAGACTGGGGATTTTCCTTTGCTTCAAACCTTTAAAAGGACACTTTGAATTTATGGAAGTTAGTCCAGATTCGAAACTGCCTGTTAAGCTTTTACTCTGCCCTTTGCTGAAAAAGTTGAGCGTACTGGCTTGGAATGCTGCTATCAGCTGGCCACAGAACAGCAGCCGATGCAGCAGTTTATAAAAAGGCAAAATCACCATCATTCAGGTAGCTCCCAGGTGGATAAGAGTTCGTGCAGCCTGGGCCAGTACTAGTTTGCAAATCCCCAAGAACTTGTGTTTTCTTTTGGCCCTACTCATCCATCGCCCAACATATTGTCACAGATGGAGGACATACTGACTTCTGAGGAGAAAGCCGGGGAAGGCAGATCTGAGTGTGGTTGATTGGCATTTGTTCCAATATTCACTGGCCTAGTGCCAAAGCAAACACCCGCAAGTTTTTAAATGCACAAGGCCCTTTACATGTCAGTCTCTTGCCAGAGTATCACTTCCAGCATCGCTCCCAAAATAGTTTTTTCTTTCTTGTTTTAAAAAGAGCTATTTCTTATTTTGCTTTGATCAGTAAAATAAACTTTTAAAGATTGTTCTGGGATGGGGTCCAGCTTCTGAGGTAAAGAATGGCTGGGGCTCAGGCATGATTCAGTAACAAAGTGTTCAGTAAAATTAGCCTGACAGTTCTCAGGCCTGCTGTTCGATAGCAGGACTTCACCAAGTTAAAATGGATGGCTGTGCTGGCCAGAGCAGCATCAGCTTTGTGCTTTTTAACAAATGGAACGTCAAGGACTAAACAGCAAGCTGTATGGAGAGGAGTGCTGTGGACATGTCTCCGTGTTAGGGAAACAAATTGGGTCCTTGGTTTTGAGATCAGCCCATAGCCCCTGTGAAGAACCAGCTACCTGGATGGGTCTAACCTGGGCTCCAGCCCCTATCCCAGCCTGTTCTACCATTGGGAAGCTTTCTCAGGTCATGGCTTTTCTTTCAGATTTCTTGTCAGTATTAAGTTCTGCTGTGGTTTTTGGCCGTGTTCCCCTTTGGGGAAATGGGAATGTGACCAAACTCCTTGTAGCAATTCTCATGTTCCATAGTTGGAAACTTGGGTCCCTTTATTTTACATGAGCTACTTGGAATTAGCTTGTTTTACTCCAGTGCCTAAGCGTCGGGGTAGTATTTGTGTCTCTTGCCACTGCAATTAACAGTCTCCCTGAAGTTACATCTACCCGAGTGATGTGCTACTGGGTGTTTGTATTTTGTTTTGGTTTTTATTTTTATTATACTTGTTTTTTTGTTTCTGTGCTGTTTTTTTTTTTTCTTTTTTGATCTAGATATATCTCCAACCTCATTTGACTAGAAGTTTGCAAGCTGTGTTAGTGTTTTGCCTTTCACTTATTTTTGCTTAAACTAATATTTTGTTTGATTTTTCTAGGGCTGAATAAGTAAATTATTTATAGTAAAGTACACATAGATTGTATATTACAAGATGGTTGGGCCGGGCATTGTGGGTCATACCTTTAATCCCAGGAGAGAGACAGAGGCAGGTGGAGCTCTTTAAGTTTGAGGCCTACCTGGTTTATATAGTGAGACCCTGTCTCAGAACAAACCAAAATAACAACAAAAGACAGATGGATAGACCGATATTCTACTAGATAGCTAAGAAGAGCCTTTTCTTTTTCTCTGAGGCACCGAGGGGCTTATGTATGACCATAGTGTCTGCCTGTAGTGGCATCTACTGACATTAGTCAGGTTCTGTCAGTTGGCAGTCTCCACTGCCGGATTTGGCTCCTAAGCTAAAACTGGGAATCGTGCACCTTCTGAGCTAAGCAGACCAGTAGGTTTAATATGCATTAAATTAGAGAAGCCTGCACCAACCTTGACCTTGGTTCACTCGGTGCTACTTTTATTCCCATGCCCTCACAGACAGTGTTTCTGTGCACAGCCCTGGCTGTTGTGGAACTCACTCTGTGACCAGGGTGGCCTTGAACTCAGAGATCTACCTGCCTCTGCCTCCTGAGTGCTGGGATTAAAGCGTGTGCCACCACTCCTCGGCAGATTTCTTCAAAATATTCACTGGCATTATCTGTACTATTGCTTTGAAGCTTTCCAAGGTGTAGTGGAAGTTGTAGTGATAACTCTCTATGCTTGTCTTTTCCTCCAGAAATGCTGCTCATGGGTTCTCCCTTATCCAGGTGGACAGCACAAAGGTCACCATGAAGGAGATCTTGCTAAAAGCAGTGAAGCGAAGAAAGGGATCCCAGAAAACTTCAGGTGGGTTAGTTAAATTATACAGTGGTAGCAGAAGCTAAACAGTTAGTTAAAAGGCTCCGTGTGTGTGTGTGTGTGTGTGTGTGTGTGTGTGTGTGTGTGTGTGTATTTGGGTGCATGTGTGCATGGGTGTGCATACATGAGGGCGTGTGAATGCACACACATGTGTTATCTGGCTACATTGTTTTGGATCTTTTTTTCCTAGAAATCTGATTAGCAAGACTGATTTAGGAGGGAAAATTACTTTTAAAGCTTCCTCTAGGCCTCAGAAAGAACTGGGTCAGTGGCATATATGAGAAGAACATGTTCAAATCAATGATGGCCAGTCCATCATTAATAATTTTGTGGTAAATTAAGACAGAGCTATTTGTGTTTGCCATTAGTTAATGTACACCCGTCTTAAAATCTAAATCAAGGGTTAGAAACAGCTTAGTAGCAGAGTGCCTGTCTAGCATGTGTATGGATGGTCTTGGCTTCCATTCCCAGCACCACAGAAATCAAAACAAAACCTCAAACTTGAATTCCTGCTTCTAATTTCATGTTTTCACACAGGTTTACAAGGGAGTACCTTCATTTACTATGATTCAGGATATGGGGGTTAGGAGGACATTCTTTTCAAATTTTACTAAATGAGGGCAATCTTATAAAAAGGTGGTTTAAAAAAGATAAATTGTTTGATGCACCCATATAGCTATTCATCTCTAACTCCTCATTAACTAGCTTTTTGGGGTACAAAGTAGGCTTGTGCTATTAGATATGATATTTAAAGGATGTAGAACACAAATATTACCAATATTCAGGAACAGTTATTTTCAAGAATAAAGATTTGTCTATAACAGACTACTGTATTAACAGACTACTCTCAGCTCATATATGGCAAGTCAAGTGTCTTAGCTTTGTAAGTGAAGAGACTTCTTAAATACCTTTGAGCTCACCTTTTGGAAAGGAAGAGGGCATTGCTCAGCTTGAAGAAAATAGTTGTGTTCTCTTTTTAAGGGGAGGCATATAATCTGTTCCAGATTTAATTAGCTATCTTCAGATGAAAGCTGAAGTTTTAATAAAAGTTAGAAGAGATAACACAGTGAAGGACACGGATGAGCTGTCTCAAGGCCATATTCCAGGGGAACGATAAGAGCTGTAAAAAATGGCAGAGGAGAGCAATTGAATGGAGCAATGAAAATCTGATTCTCATAAAAAAGAGAGAGAGAGAGATGCTGGTAGGGGCGGTTGTAGATGAGACCTGCTAGCGTCTGCAAGCAATTTGGAAGCTTGCCAGGAGTCATTGTTCACCCTCGGCTGTGGCGGCTCCGTCCAGATGTGCCAACTGCACGTTTCGGCTTTTGCCAGCTGACTGCGCCGTTTGATAACCAGCTCTCTGGATGCCCATCACTGGCCGCAGAGATAGAATTAAATGATGATGATCTTCCCACAAGTTGGGAGAGGAAACAATGCATATAAATCTTGATTTCATCTCAGCGTGAGAAGTCTTTATCCATCATCACTCATAATGAACAAGTCGTTAGCTGGGATGAATGGTGCTCTGCTTTTTCCAAACACCTCTTTTGTTCATTTTTTGGGTGACTTTTATCTATTGCATGGGGGTCAAACCTCTTTGCATTTAGGGGATGATTGAAGAGGCACAGCCTCTCCATCCCAGGGGAGAGAAGATGTTTGGGGGTTCCAGGTGCCAATCTAATAGCTTTTAAATAGCTTCAGATACTCAAGGGTATTTAATGAACACTTACTCTGTAGAATCAGGGGTCTTTGCTCTGTAAATTTTTTACATAATAGTGAATTTTGTAATACAGTTCTTTATATTCAAGAATGCATTGTTTTTTGAGTTGTCTAGGAAGGAGATGGAACTTAAGCCTTCTCGATAGAAATTATGCTGCCAGTGACATGTGTTTGTTTGTTCATTTGTTTGTCTGTTTTCAGAATGCAAAATCCCAGTAAACTTATGGGAGATACAGTTGAGCCAGTGTCTTTCCTTCTGTCTGCAGCCATCTCTTGTCCAGTCTTTAATTTGTTTATGTGTATTAGTTGTGCTTTCAGGGAACACATGCACACTGGCATGTGCTTCTTTATGCTCACCATTGCATATACACCCTTGCCATTTCCATCAGTTTTGCCGTATCCTTGGCAAAAGCTTGGGATTTGTTATCCAAAATGCAATGATCTGTATTATTTATTCCTATTCATACTCCTGAAGCTGATTGAGATTAATACATTTATATATATTGCTGTACATTTTCTTAAGTCAAGAACCATTTTAATGTAAACCTTTCTAATTGCTTTAAGAGTCTGGTCTCAGAATTTGAAAGGTCACCAGCTTGGCAAAGATTTATTTAGGGTTAGCACAGAAGAGGTGGTGTTCATGTTGTGGTTTGAACTTTGTACTGGGGAATGGGCTTCTTTTCAAAGGTGACTAAGGAACTGAAGAAGACCCTCTTTATCATAGAGAGAAGAACATTTACTTAGTGAAAACTATTGTTGCCCACACAGAGCTAGGAGATACTTAGACTTTTTCTATTATCTCAGGAACTCGCTTGTGAACTTGATGGGAAGCTATCAAGTTAGAGAGCTGCCCATGCTAAGCTCTGGCACAGTGACCTGCTCAGTCTATGCAAGAACATTCCCCATGAGCCCCTTGGCTGGGACAGGGTTTGTGTGTTCAGCTTTTTCCTCAAGCAACGCTAGCCTGATGGATTGCACTTGTCTCCCTACCACTGTTACTTAGCTCAAGTGAGAAGAAAGGAAATGACACTCGAAACAGAGGAACATGTGAGTACTGTGTGAAGTACACAGTGGCTGGTCAGAGAGCAAGATCTGAGGAACCCTGACTCCTTCCACAAACACACTGAGCTTCTCTTGGCTTTAGCCTGACCCTGCTATTATTTATTTAATAATAGCAGCAGATGAGGAATTTGAATGATCCATTATGAAATCAAGTTGTGAACTAAATGACAGTCTCTAATATTCCTGTCCTTCCCTCTGGTACTTACTTAGTTTCTTTTCTTTTCATTTTTAAAGTAGTGGGTATTGAGAAGAAAAAAAACATCATTTTAAATATATGGTTTTGTTAAAGAAAACCTTTGGTTCTTTAAAATAATTTTCACTTTTTAGGATAGATAGTACTTATACTTTAGAAGTTTATAGAATTTTATAGAAAAGAGTAACTTTTGTAAAGTCTTGACTTGCATTGCTCGTAATTATTTCATCATTTCTTCAAATCATAACTATTAATGAACACTCGGAGGGGGTGCCTATTAATATTTATGTACTGAACTATAGTGATCTTCTCACAGTGTATTCCAGTCAGATCTCTGGGAAGGCACATCTTTAAAGCCTATTTCTAAATGTCTCTTAAAGTTTTTAGTTTTTCATTTTATTACTGATCTACTTGATATCTGGACTCTCCTTGCATTGGTGGCAAGTGCACACTATTAGAGCAAATAGAAAATAGAGAGTAAATTAGACAAAGTGCATTCACTAATTTTAACAGTTGGGTAAAAGAGTTTTTGACACAGTAAAGAATAGATCACTGTCAGATCCCTGGATTTAGTCAGTGAAATATACTAACTTGTCATTTACTGACTAAAGGCGTTATTCAGTTTCTCTGTCAGGATCACCCTTATGATTGTGACCTTTGACCTTGTTGGTATTTTGTTTATTGCTGTTGCCTTAATACTGTTGTCCACCAGCTGTTACCAGTCTCCTGAAGCATGCTGATGTGACAGAGATGCTACTGAGAAATGGAAGCATATAACTTTCAGTTGCACACTGACACAGACATACATGTGCCTCCCAGTGTACAAGAGGAAGACTTAGAAGTAGAATTTGCCCAGAGTAGAGTCTGTGTGGCATTCTCATTTTGAAATGGGGCCATTTTTCTGTTACCTGCTGAAAGGAACAGGAGAGCTTGCTAACTTTTTTTTACTGACCCCATTCTTGCCTTTTGAAGTGTAGACATACTTTATTAGTTTGGATTTCTTTGTTTTAAGTTTTTAGAATATTAACTGATGTTCATTCCTGCTTGTCTCAGAAAATCCCACCTGGAGAAGTGTTAGCTTTGCCAAGGAGTTTCATCTTGGCCTCTTTTTTGAGAGTCAGAAGCAACATTTGCCTGTCCAGTTTACTGTGCTTCACTTACTGCATCTCAGGCAGTGTTCCCTGAAGTGTACTGGGAGGGGACAGTGGTGGTGGAGGTAAGCAGCCACAGACAGTGCAGGGGATTTTGTGTGACAGACAGATGATTGGGTTCTTCAGTTCTCCGTTAAAAATTCACGTACAACCTGCATATTGACCCAGGCATTGGAAGCTACATTGGAAATGCTTCTATTCATCACGCTCCCCTATTGGCAAGATGCTTCTTGAGTGCAAGGAGACAGTGACATAACAAGACCCTTGCCAAGGATATCCTTATACTCTAGAGGGAAATGAGACATAAGGAGTAGAGAATAAAAAGAACACAAGCAGAGGAGTTCATGCACCACACTGGAAGGGTGCTCAGGGAACTGCCCCTTCCCTAAGAAATGGGCATTTGAGCAGCCCTTTATGTGTACAGTGTGAAGACTTGAGAGGGCTCTGCGTCAAATTGGTGGCTCACCATATTTCATTGTAAGAAGAACATTCCAGTTTACTGTGCTGTTTAACTGACTCAACTGAAGTTGTAGTAAAATTGATCATTAAGAGACTTACAACAGGTGCTCACACAGTCAGCAGTCAACACATCCAACATCACAGTCAACACCATCCACTAGTCACAGAGCCACACCCCAGTCATCATCTTGGATTTTCCCATGCCAGCTCCCCATGCTACGACCATTAGCAAGACAGGTGAGTTTTACCTCTAGAGCATATCTTGAATCTGTCCTAGTCACTGTGACTTTTCATCTGAAACACTGTCACAAGTCCCAGGTTGGCTTTCCTGCCACTGCTTTTAGTCCTTTCAGCCTGTGGTCTACACAGCCACCAGAGAGACCTTGTGAAATGTGAATCAGATC